GGAGAAGATCAAGAGGTGGAGGAGGAGTGGTCTCTGGCGGCGCGACAAATTTTGGGTGGTCGCCAATTTTTTGTATTTTATTTATTAGTTAGATCATAGATGTACAGGTCTATGGGCCCAACTATAGAAGGTTGATCCATGTATTAAGATTGATTGTGGACTAGAGCCCAATTCAGCCCACTAAGATTGATTGTGGATTAGAGCCCACTCCAGCCCACTTCACCCGATAAATAATGTAGGGGCATGGTCAAATAGGAGGTAAAAATTGAAATATAGATAAGACATATATATCATCAAGTTTTGTTTCACCATCATTACTCAATAACTAGTCAAAGGCTTGGAACGATGTGCATGACAAACAACAATTACCCGTCATCATAAACTAATAATAGAGGTATATATATTTGTCCCCAAAGTTGTTACAAATTTTATTCTAAATTGATACTCTATTTATGGTTCAACAAACTAGATTCTGTACTTGATTATTCGCATCAATTGGAAACTATAGCAATTAATGTTTTCCTTTTAATGAAGATATAATATAATATTGTTGAGCAATGATGTGTTAGGTCTCGGGCAGCTAGAGATAAATAGATAGAATAGAGAAATATATACATTGTAATTTAATTATTAGAAACTTAACTGCGAGTGATGTGACTCGAATTGGTTCCTACAATATCAACTGTTAGCTACAATAGTTTTTCAATTATAGTTTTTGTACATTGATGCACAATGAATTATGTTTAATAATTTATGATTTTTTGTTTATCATCATGAGGATGCATGGTTCTAGAACCAATCTTTCACAAAATAAATACAATCAGTAAATCATCACCATTCAAAATAACTAGTACGTAATCCGTGCGATGCACCGGATGTAAACTTTGGAAGAATAATTTAACCTCACGTGCATTAGGATCGAAATTGAAATCATTAAAATACATAGGAACATTGTTGAATCATAAAAAGTTTGGTAACAATCATATATTATTAAAAATCTCCTTGAACACAACATTATGAGTTTAATTATTTGGTAACTCCTCATTATCACAAACTAATATTTTCAAAAGAGACAAATCCTAAAATCAAACTAATATTTTTGGTGAATAAACTAATATTTTAGGATTGGTGAACAAACTAATATTTTAAGATTTTTAGGATTTGTCTCTTTTTGGTGAACAAACTAATATTTTAGGATTGATTATATGAATAAGGCTACCTGTTTTTGGTGTTCTTTTCATTCATTTTCATTCAAACAATCCGATGACTTGTATAATGAAATCCGAATCTTAAGCCGAAATATTTAAAAAAAGAATTTTTAAAAATTGAAAAGTCAAGACAATCAGTTCAGATTAATTAAAGGTCCAAGAATATCTGCTCCTTGAAATAAAGACGTGTGCTATCATTAACCAAATTTCCGGTTATTGATATAGAGTGGTTACAAAAAAATAGAACGCGATAAGGACGCTTCATGGAAATATCAATGAGATAAGGTCATAACAGATCGCTATACATTTTAACGATAAAAGCTCAAATGGAATGATTTATGATAATTATGTTGTAATTAATGAATTAATTAGATGTGTGAAAATGACATAATTAATGAGAAGTGTGAAAAAGACATAATTAATGAGAAGTGTGAAAAGGACATAATTAATGAAAAGTGTAAAAAAGACAAAAAACTTACCAATTTTGGAAAATATTTAATGCAAATCCGACATTGACCATAATTTAACCTACTATTTTGGATAAATGTTAATTCTTATTATATAAGTATAGATTTACCAACTCATTTAAACTACACTTTTAGTTGCACAAATGTTGCTATTAAGCTCTCTAAACGTTAGTCAACTATATTTCCTCATAAAAAAAAAAAATGCATAATACGTAAATCATATATTTATTTATATTTTGTTTTAAAGTATGATATTCTTATGTTAAATTATATATATTTTGTTGGGAAAGTATTGATATCTAACTATTAAGCTTTAATAATAGGAAGATTATTGCTATCTTAAAAATTGGGAACTATTTTTTTGTTTCCCTATATATATATTTGATTATCCAACTTATACATCACCGTAAGTTGCATACAATACAACCCACAATTGAACTATTAGTAAAATATGATAATTAATGGAAACATTCTCAAAGGGTAGCTGGCTAATCATGCT